AATTAAGATAATTAATTTGATTCGATTATCAATTTTGAATACCTAAATTTAATAAATTGATTAATTTGATTCGGATATATGATGTTTTTAAATACATTACTCGAATGTATGCATATAAAATGTTTTGCCGCTTCATCCTACGGTCCTACCTGTCCTGAGTTTTAAAATCACTATTTTATGCAAGTCACCCTTCAACAAAGACACTAAATACCACCAACCCTACCAAAGGGCCCTCTTTATATTATACGACCAACTTCATTGATGGGGAGTGACTCCTCTGGTTCCAGTGGAACCCATCCCAGAACTCTTGCCAGCCATTGATTATCATCATCATCATAACCAATGTCACTTTCATCACAGCCGTTAATTTCCTTTTCGTCTTCTCCTCCTACAACAGTATTAGTTAACTCATTCTCGGTCAGGTACTTCCCGGTGGGTGCAACGAACTCAATGCCAGCCATCACAGTCGACGATGAGTCAGACATCGAAGCTCCACAGCTCTCACCGTTAAGGCCGCTAACCGCAAACAAAGGCGAAGTGTTGTAAGAAGAGGAGCTTGTAATTGTTATCTCTTTGTATAGCTCTTGCATTATCTCCTCAAGTTTCTCTTCTTCGACCAGGCCCTCGCCGTAGAGCTCGCTTTCGTCTTCGGATTCTGTCAACAAAACACTCAACTTCCGGGGAAATGTTCCGGAAAGTTCAATCTCCGGCGACTTAGATTCTTCTTCTTCTTTTCCCCTTAACGTCGTCATATTTAAGTTCTTTTTGTCGAGTTGAAGAAGACCATAGAAACTCGTAATATAAAGGGAAGTATTGGTGCCACGTAGGATGTGGTTTTGGATGACGTGGCTAACAGAGGGTGAATGAGATGACGAATATCTAGATCCCACTGGTTTTTCAAAAATGACAACTGTGATTTGGGCCAGTTGGCAAGACTTGTTTGGAATGTTTAGATTGTTGTCAGAAAAATTTAAAGGTAATCTGCCATTAATTTAAAACCATTTTTTGTCTAATTTTAAAAAATAAAAATAAAAACAATACATTTATGGTTTAAAATTTAGTTTAACACTATTTATTATATTTAAAGTTTAGATTTTAAGATTTAAAATTTGTTTAAAATATAAAAATATATACAATTCTCGATATAATTATATAAATCATCATTAACTTTTAATTTTTATATTATGTTATAATATGTTTACGACACACACGAATTAGATTTACATTTATATTGATATGGCTGAATAAGAAAAATTAAATATAATGTGAATGAGATTTGAAAGTTGAAATAGCTTCATATATGTTTCTTCTTTCTCAAAAGACGAGTGAGGCAAAAGGCCAAAGGAGTGTTCGGTGTGATGTGAAGTAAACGACAAGAATAACCTCAAAGAACACAAGAATATTTTTCAAGTTTCCGAGATTACCCCTTTTTTTAATTAACCGAACTAATAGTTTTATTAATATTTTAATGCATACTTATGAGTTTCATAATAGTATTGTCTCTTTGTTCTCTCACAAATCTACTTGTTAATAAAAAAGAAATAGTAATGCCTTTAAATTCAAAGCTCCGGGAAGTGTCTAAATGCATGGATGCATTAGGTAAGAATTCATTGCACTGTTTTTGATGACGAGGTTAGATCATTTAAATTTTGATTATTTCCAACTCGAACAACTTGATTCCCAATCGTCCATCTCTTTTCGAGGAATAAATCTTGGTAAAATAATTACATTATTAATACAAAATGTATCAATTTGAGCACAATGGAATGGTAATTGTACCTGAAAGAAACCCTATAGGATCAAATGAATACAAACAATACAATCTTACATTCAATATCTGATCTCTTCAAAATGCTACCTAATCCCTGCATAACCCTCTCTTTCTCTACCCTCTTCTAATGCTTCTGTATATAGCACAACAATCTTCAATATCGTCCCTACGACCTATGAATATGATGATGTACATATTATTTTTCCTCCCTATTCCCGATAGCTTCGTCACGGCACGTGGCAAAAGAATAGAATGCTTTAGCTAGTTTACTAATAAGAACACAACATTTATCGCATTTGGAGGTTGCTTTAAGAAACCGACCTACCTTGCGCCATCATGGTCCCGGCTAAATTCAAGCCAACAAGGTATTATACGTCATCAGGTGGCAATGTTGGGCTTCTGGAGCACATTCCGATCTTGTGAAGCTCCTTAAGTTTGCTAGCCGGATTGCATAAACCTATAAATGGACACCGATTTGTTCACCAAGGAGATCAGACATGGACTATCATGAACAAATTTCATGAAACTATCGAGAACATGTATCCATGTGTATTGTATTAGAAAATTTAAAATGGAAGGTAAAGTAGGAGGAACTGGAATACATAAAACAATCGAGAACACGCACGCTTTCTAGGCATTTATCACATCCAAAAACATCTCTTTAATAAGACAATAGGGTTTATTATTGCAGCTGTGCTACCTGAGCATCTTGGGATATCCCAGACTGCTATTGATGTAGGTGTACATCTAGGATCACATATTGCTCTGTTATCTTCATGATGCACGTTCATGGCTAGCATCCACGATCCAATAGTGACATCCTCATTGTTGAACATCCTCAAACTGAAAGGTCGAACAACTCATGTATAATAGAATAACCATACAAATAAAACCAAGAATACGTTTTGATTTGCTATTCTAGGGAGTTGTAGTATTAAACAGAGTATGACAAGGATATAAGAATGCAGAAAGGAGGTACTTAAAGCTATATCCTTGCAACATGTACAAACTTTTCGATTGAACTAAAAGGAGTTGCAGAAAAGTCAGGTATAAATAAAATGAGCCATAAGCACAAGTAAATGCATTATTTTATATTGAAAACTCGTTGCGTTGAACTCATGAATCATGATATTAGGTCAATAAAAAAATATCCAAGTTCCAAGATAACTACGAGAAGACTTGACTTATTTGTCACAAACTAAATTGCGCAATGATAAATGTATTTAGAAAGAACTTATCAGTTATCATAATTAACATTATTTTAACCAAAGAAATGCAATCAGGTGCACTAAGGACTAAACATGGATTAAACTCAAAGCAATGATAAACGTATTAGAAACTTCTATTGTCAGTTCAATAATAAGAATGATTAAGATTCAACAGTTAAAATAGCAATTGAAATCAAACTCAAAGCAAAGGCAAACCTGTTATTTCTAGCAGCTGCCAAAGAAGCCACCACCTCTGCAGAGAGAACATATATAGGACCATAAGCGTGCAAGAAATACTCATTTCCAATCAGATGTCCTGATTTCTCATACCTGAAAATTTATACTAATAAATCCTCCAAAAATTATACATATTTCAAGGTAGAAAAATATGAATCATAACAGAACAACAGGAACAGAAATATACCATTTCAATTTAGGATCGGTTATCACAGGTCCCTTTTTCATGCACCCAATGTAAGTCATGGAATAGCTTCGTTCCTTCGCAAGAAGAGTCGCAAGCCGATCTGGTGGAATGAAAACAAACAATTTAGCATCACACTCAAAGCATTTACATTTGAAATCAAACACTAATGGATTTACCTGGACGCAAATAAATGTCGTCGTCAGCTTTGACATAGTAATCTGCTTCAAATAGCTTAAAAGCTGCTTTGAAGAATGCAACTCTGAGAAGGACAAAAAGGAAAAGATTTACATATACATGATGATACAGGCTATTGTTTACATCAATAAGCTGGTGCTAAAAACTAGTTATAATTTTCTCTTACGTTTTGTAAGGAAGCTTAAGATATTCTTCTTCAACATCTATCAACATGAAATCTCTGTACTTTTCAATCTCTTTCTCAAGCATTGCCATTTTCTTCGCATCTTTTGATTTCCCTATCACAAATCTGAAACCCAGACCAGTAGCTTGCTCCAGCCTTAATTAAAAAAATATCAATTGTTAATTTTTTTATGAAACAAAATAACCCCAATTGAGAAAAATGTGAATTATACCTCAAAAGGTCCTCTGGGTCGGAAGGGAACCAGGTGCTGCGAAGGGCAGCTCGGCGTTCACCCGATTCGAACCCGGTTTGGATGCCGACCAACCCGAGAAGCTTGGGACGATCAACTAAACCTTTATTACTGTCGTCGCCGAGTTTTGTGGAATCCGAGGAGTAAAAGGCTCGGAAAGTGTCCTCCGATTTACCACATCGGAAGACAGGTAAGGGTTGGTTGCGGCGGATGGAGAAGACGGCGAAGAGTGTGCCGGCGAGACCGATGAAGAGGCAGAGGAGTGAAAAGGCGAGAAGCGGCAAGGGAGTCCGAGTTGATGAAAATGAGTAAAAGGGCTTCGATGGCTTGACAGGCTTGGAAGAGTAGAAGGAAGGGAGCGGATCGCTGCCTACGGGGCCGCAGGAGCTGGCGGAGGAGCGGTGAAAGAAAAGGGGCATTTTTGGTGAATTTTGGGCGGATGGGTGTGAGAAAATATAGTAAAAACGGTAATGAAGATCCGGTAGACTTTTAACAGCAGTCACTCACTGAGTTAAATGGTTGTGTACCTTTGTAGGAGCGAGCTGGAGCTTCAAAAAATACAGTAGTTGCCGGTTGGTTCTTTTTCCTTTTCTTTTTCACCCATTTGTCCTCCTTTTTAGAGCTTCACTAACAATTTCACATTTATTCCGATCATTAAAGGTAATATTACAAATCTAGCCCCTAATTTTTATTTCTTTCATAACTTGAACCCCTAATTCCTTCATTGTTGCAATGGCCTTCAACCTTAAAAATTGGCTAAATTCTTGTGTTAGTTCTTGCGTTACGAGTAAGTTGTGAATTTAATTTATGTATTCTAATTTAGAAATCTTTTAGCCTATTTAAAATTTAAAAATTCAATAAATTAAAATTTACTAGTAGTCTTTTTATCGTGTTTAAGTTATAAGCTTACAACATCGTTCTTCCTCTTCTTTTCAGAAGCTTTTCTCTCATGGATGATCGTATAATTTTATGCGTTGCTAAGGAAATGAACTTATAAAAGAACTAATAAAACAACAGTCTTCTCTGTCCTAAATTTTCTTTTAGGCCCAGATGGCAAGGGAAGCCATTAAACCAGCTCCTAGGAAGAGCATGAAGTAAGACGCTACTTGAAGTCTAAAATTGCAGCTCATCCTCTTACTCAGAAAATCTGCTTCAATTAGATCTACTAATGCCATGTAAACTAGAATCCTAGCCGATAAAGAGTCTAAGATGCCTTCAGCAACCAGAGCTGCCGGGCTGTATGGATTGTAAAACGAAGAGATGCCGGTCCCGATGCTGATTCCGGCCGGGGTTGTTATGGCAAAAAAACATGCCATGATTGTGGCTGAGAGGGTTTTGAATTGCGCCTGGGAGATGCAGCCTCCAAGGGCAAATCCTTCGAAGAACTGATGAAATGATAACGCCGTGATTAAAGGCCTTATTGTGCATGGACTCTGGGAAACACCGAGTGATAGGCCGATTATGACCGAGTGTGAAACAATTCCAAGCTCCAAAATCTGAAAGGAAGACATTACAACCATGGTAAAATAAGCAAATACCAACAGCTCAAACTTTGTCCCAAACTTTGTCCCAAAATTTTATCAGCCATTAATCAGAAACAAGTTCACAAACCAACATGGCGGTCTTACATTTTAGGGGCCTTAGGCAAAATAAAAGATAAGGACCCCTAAAAAATTAACTTAGGCCCCTAATGTATAGTGGAGCATGGATATCTGCTCAAGTATTTATAATGGGCACTACTAAAACTACCGCATATTACTAAGGATATCTCCAACGCTGTGCTACAGTGGAGATATTTCCACTGTAGCGTGCTCCAGCCCTACGCCAGTTCCATCGCACTGTACATATTTGCTACAGTATCGCGCCACATCTAGCGCGGTACTGTAGCTCGCGTTAGATTTTGTTTTTTTAGTTAAAATATATTAAATTATAAGATAGATAAAAATATATTTAAATTAGATAAATAATCATATTAATTTTTTTGTAATTTTTCAAATTTTTTGAATTTTTTCTGATTTTTTAATATTTGTAAAATTAATATTATAATAGTTAAATATTGTGAATAAAGTAAAGTTAGTGATAATGTAGAGATAACGTTGGAGATAAATTATTGTTTCATGTCTAAAGTAGAGATAGAAATGCGCTAGAGTAGATATTAGGACTGGAGATGGTCTAAACATACCAAGTGTGGGGAGTATTACTAAACATATCATGTGTGGGCCCCATTTTCGATGATTGGAAAGGGAATCAGGCCTTACTTATCTTCTTGTCATCTTCTTCAACACTACTCCAACACTAATTCCCTTTTATTTACCTAATTTATTAAAAAACATTAATTATCGAAATAATTTTCATTCTAATTTATTTATTAAAAAGTAAAATTTATCGGATATATTTTTTTATCAGATATATTTTTGTTTATGTCACATGTTTCATTTATTGGACAAAAACTGTTTGTCTTTTTCGTCTTTGTCATATCTTTATTAACACAAGAATGTTTGTTTATGTCACATGCTTCATTTATCGGACAAAAATTGGTTGTCTTTTTCTTCTTTGTCTTATCTTTATTAACACAAGAATGTGTAAAGAGGGGCAATTGTAGACACTCATTTTTGTCCGGGCCGAAAAAAATATTTTAAATATTATTATTAGTATTTTTATTTTTAAAATTTCTTTATTAATTATTACCTAACCTAAAAACTCATTACCTATTAAATAATCATCCACTAAAAATTCGCTACCCATTAAATAAAAACCCACTAACTATTAAAGAAAGAAAACTTTATTAAAAAAATAAAAAAAATGGTGTGTTTAATAGATTTATTGATATATTTAGACACTTTTTTTATAATATGCAAAGACAAGTGGGGGCAAGTATTTATAATAGAGAAAATCGCCTCAGTGACAAAAAATGCCTTATAATATACGATTTTAACCAACTTTTTTTGGATTTGCCAAAATGACCAACAAAATTGCAACGCGAAATAAAAATCGCAACGCGATCCCCAGAATCGCAAATCAGTTTCCAAAATCGCAACGCGATTCTTGAAAATCGCAATGCGATAGTACAAATTCGCATTGCGATTTTCCAGAATCGCAACGCGAATATGAAAATCGCAACGCGAACACATAAATCGCAACGCGTATCCGTAAATCGCAACGTGTATCCGTGAATCGCAACGCGTATCCGTAAATCGCAATGCGTATCCGTATATCGCAACGCGTATCCGTAAATCGCAACGACAATACGTAAAATCGCAACGCGTATCCGTAAATCGCAACGCGATTTTTAAAGCGCCATTATAATCGCTACGCGTATTTTATTTTCAAATTACAAAAGTGAATATTAAGACAAAATCCCGTAATCGCAACTCATAACCTAAAACCTAAAATCACAACTCAGTCCCATCTCCATCTCTCACTCTCTACGGCGAAATCCGTCCCCATCTCCGAAGATTTCCGTCCCCATCTCCGGCGAAATCCCTCACAACCATTCACGGTCAGAAATCCCTCACAATATTCAGAAATGGAAAATCAACCTCCGAGGGTTAGTTTTTTTAATTATTTTTATTTTGAAATTTTTGCATTATTGTAGGTTTTTCATATTGAAACTGATGATAAGTTTACTGGTCATTTCAATAATAGATTAACCATTTCACTTAGATTTCATTTCGCGTTACGATTCTCTCGTTGCGATTTTCATTTCGCGTTGCTATTCTCTCGTTGCGATTTTCAAGTTAGTATTTGTCTTTGTCTTTGTTCTGTCTTTTGGTTGAAGTAATGCAATCCATTCAAGTTTCAATTTGCAGAAGAGTCGCAACGAGAGAAATGAAAATCGCAACGTGAAAATGACTATCTGCAACGAGAAAAATGAAAATCGCAACGAGAGAATCGCAACGCGAAATGAAAATCGCAACGAGAGAATCGCAACGCGAAACCAAAATCGCATTGCGATTTTCATTTCGCGTTGCGATTCTCTCGTTGCGATTTTTATTTCGCGTTGCGATTCTCTCGTTGCGATTTTCATTTCTCTCGTTGCGACAGTCATTCTCTCGTTGCGATTTTCATTTCAACCAAAAGACAAAACAGTGTTGCAAATTTTAGTTTCAAGAATAAACTACTACTTTTTATGTTTATTGTTTTTGGTATATCTTCACAGTGTAGTTTTTGGTATATCTAACTTGGTATGTTTATTGTTTTTGTAGAAATTTTTTTCGGCTTCATTGACATTAAGGAATAAAGTTAGCCTAGCCACTACAATTGCTTCGAAGCTTTCACCTGCACAAAGACAATTGTTTGAGGAAACTTGCTTCGGGCCATGGCTGAGAGTACAGCATCCGGGTGGAGATGCTAACTTGACCCATTTGTGGCTTCAGACCATGACATCAAATCTACCCGACAGTATACAACGTGGTGAGGAAGAGATATGGTTTCATTTTCCACCAGCGTATACTTGTTTTGGGCGGAAGGAGTTCTGCTTAATCACTGGTCTACGATTCGGACACGATGATACACTCGTCATATCGCCCGCCCATCATGGTTATCCCGGGTTTTTCCGGATGAGTCAATGGAGAAGCCGAACCTACACGTCGACGACCTGAAGAAATTGTTTAATAAGAAAGCTGGTTTCACTCGGATGGATGACGTCGATGTTGTCCGAGTATGCCTTCTACTACTTGTGTATGCTGGCTTTTTAGGCAGAGAGGCCAGACAACCTATTCCTCGGGAGCTAATAATATTGGTAGAGGACCTGAATGCATAGAATCTGTTTCCGTGGGGTTCGTATATATGGAAAGCTACCTGGACTAAGTTGTCTACTGCCTTTGATGACCGCAAAAGTTTGCGTGGCGATGGGTCGAAATACACTTTGTCAGGCTTTGTTTGGGCCTTTAAGGTAAGAATTTCTATATAATGTTTCTAAAATTATAATTAATTATTTAACAATTACTAATTTTGTTATTATATTGTTTGTAGATTTGGATATTCGAGGCTTTCCCCAGCATGCGTACATATGCAATAAAAACGTCAAATGATATTCCCAGGGCTATTTCCTGGAAGAGGAAAAATCTGTTGGATTGGGAAGACTTAATACCATATGCGACAATAAATAATGTAAGTTAACACAAATACTTTCATATAATATATAAACAAGTTATTAATAGTAGACGTTTAACTTTGTTTGAGTTTTTATATTGTTAGGAGGCCAACATTCCATTACAAAGACTGACACCCACGGAGGAAGAGCTTGCCACTGATTGGTGGCAAGCTAGTCAGAGTTTTTTTGATGGCACGGATGATGAGCAGCATCCACTTCCTCCAATTCGAGAGCCATCACCTCACCCAGAGCCATCACCCGATCGACCCGACTATACACCTCTAGAACGAGAGCCATCACCTATCCCGTCACATCATCGAGCCTCTTCTCCACCATCACCTCATGATAGGCGACCGGTAAAGAGGCCACGACATTTATCTCCTTGTTCTCCACCTCCACGGGATGAGTTACGTGATGAGGTCAATGCCTTGTGTGAGGAGATCGGTACTCTACGCGATAACGATGGTGCATGGCGTGTGGAGGTGTCAACTTTACGTGGTGAGGTTGCCGCTCTACGTGAGATGATAGTATCGTTGCAGAATGAGGTTCATACTCTACGCAACGAGGTAAGTTTAAGATTTTCCATATTTAACTTAATGATAAATTTACTCGTAATTTCACTTAGATTAGCCATTTCACTTAGATTGCTTAGTAAATTTATTCGGTTGCTGCCAATTCTGCTAAACTGTGTATTCTTTAACACTGTGAAATAGTATTTGTCTTTGTTTTGTCTTTTGGTTGAAAGTAAATTTGTTCGGTTGCTGCCAATTCTGCTAAACTATGTATTCTTTAACACTGTGAAATAGTATTTGTCTTTGTTTTGTCTTTTGGTTGAAAGTAAATTTGTTCGGTTGCTGCCAATTCTGCTAAACTAATACCCTGAAGTCATTATTTGTCTTTGTTTTGTCTATTGGTTGAAGTAATGCAATCCATTCAAGTTTCAATTTGCAGAAGAAGAAATAGTTTACTTTCGCAACACGAAACTTAAAATTGCAACGAGAGAATCGCAACGCGAAATGAAAATCGCAACGACAGAATCGCAACGCGAAACCAAAATCGCAACGACAAAATCGCAACGCGAAACCAAAATCGCATTGCGATTTTCATTTCGCGTTGCGATTCTCTCGTTGCGATTTTCATTTCGCATTGCGATTCTGTCGTTGTGATTTTCATTTCGCGTTGCGATTTTGGTTTCTCGTTGCGATTCTCATTTCGCGTTGCGATTTTAAGTTTCGTGTGGCGAAAGTAAACTATTTTTCTTAGTTATCTGATGCATTTTGTGAACTATGATAGAATAATGACTTGGGTGAATACAATGCAAGTTTGAAACATATTTGTCTTTGTTTTCACTGTTTAAATATCATGTCTGTTTATTTACTGATTTTTATATTTAATTATTTA